TTACTTTTGCATAACCAAAAAGCTCATTAAAGTGTTTTTCTTCAAACAATGGATTAATCTGTCCTCAAAGGTAAATTCTGCCTCCACTTCTTCAGAAACAGAAAAGGTGCTGGAAGCTTTAGAACAGTTTATCCTCATTTACAGCAACAAAGGTTTCAGAATGTTCGGGTTCAATTTGGTAGTAGCAATCAAAATTTTTAATGTGCATGTAATTTGATCCTATAGTTTCACTTCTAGTAATCTATGCTATAGAAATGCTCATACAAATATACAACACAGCATTGATTGTAATATTAAGAATTATAAACAACTTAAATGTGCATCAATTGGAATACAACCAAATAAATTATGGTCTATCCATTATATGAAATACTACGCAGCTATTAAAAAGAAGGTCAGTCTCTACGTACTGACATGGATGGATTTTCATGACATATCAGAGAATGAAAAAAGTATGCGTGTGAGTTTTGAGTGCATGTAGATAAACAATGTATGTGTCCACTCATAAGTGACTGAGGCAAAAATCTCAGTCAATGGAAGTTTATTAAGCCAAAGTTGAGGACGCGCCTGGGAAACACACGAACTGCAGACAGTGCTGTGGCTGTTTTTCCGAAGGGGAAGTAGGAACCTTCAGCATTTTAAAGGCGTGCAGAGAGAAGGAAAAAAGGCAGGAGGATGGGGGCTCATGAGGCAAAGTGGTTACGTTCTTGTGAGGCCAGGAAATCTACATTTTACATTAAATAATGGGAATGACAGAAGGGGAAAAGGGAATGGCAGAATCAGCAGTTATGTAGATGTCCCTAGGTAGGTGGAAGAATGTCTGATTCTATGTGTCTCCAGTTTTGTTACCAGTAAAGAAAACTTGTAATTCATTATTAGTGCAGAGTCAAACAGGCTTTAGTTTTAGGTGCTAGACATAGTTACAATTTGCATGTCCTTGCTTATGGGAAGTCAGCAAGGAAATTTTCTTAATGAATGATCTCTGTGGCCAGTTCTTCACAGGTGCCTGAGGCCTTTACCTTCTGTTTTGCATAAGGAGTTGTGGGGGGGTGCCCCTGAGACTTTGATTTTCTTTTTATATATGTGTGGAAGTAAGTCTGGAAGGATACATACTAAAAATGCCAACAGAGGTTACTTCTGGGTAATGGGATGGAGAAATGATACAGAAATGTTTAAAGAAAAAAGTTAAAGATTTTTTAAAAATCACGTTACTTTTATAATTTTAAAAAAGTAAACTCATCAGCTTTCTCTCCAGGCACATAGGACTGTGGCTTCTTCAGCACTTTCCTTTCCCATGTGATTTGCAGTTGTATTGATGAATTTTATTTATTTATTTATTTTTGCACACTTAAAACTTTGATTCAGGACAAATTTTATTTTTGAGAGCTTTCCAACCTTTTGTCCTATGTTCCTTTTGAGACACACTGCAGAATCTTTGCCTTATCTTTCTCTGAACTACAAAACAAAACTCAATTCCGCAAGTCAAGACCAGCAGTTTCAAACTTTCTCAGGCATCAGAATCATCTTCATGCTCATTAAAATGCAGATTCCTGGGCCCTGGCTCTGTAGGTTCTGATCCTGTGTGTCTGGAGTGAGGTCCAAAATCCAGATCTTTTAGAGGCACTGCAGGTGGTCAGTGAGAAGCCCTGTTTCAGTACTGACTTCCAATTGTGCCCCCTCCCACTTGTTTCTCTTTCTGTGATAGCAGCTGGCAAAAGGGAGCAAAGGATGATTCACTGTGGATATCTTTGTGGGTCACTAATGGTTGGGTTCATCTGGAAAAAAAATGAATAATGCATTGTTTAGTAGACTTGAGATTTTAGTAATGTGTGGCTTCTTTGAAGTGGGCCCTTTGGGTTAGAGGCTGGTCAGGTGGGCTTCCTAGACAGTGACTTTGGCCCACGAGATGCCCTTCCAGCGAAGGCTACGATGGCTGTTAGTTATGAATGGAAAGGAAGGAGGGACCTTAGCAAGTTGTGAAGTCTTAGAATTGAGATAGATGCTTTTTTTTTAGACAGGGTCTTGCTCTTTTACCCAGGCTGGAGTGCAGTGGCACGATCATAGCTCACGGCAACCTCGAACTTCTGGGCTCGAGCAAACTGATCCTCCTGCCTCAGCCTCCTGATTAGCTGGGACTACAGGTGTGTGTCACCATGCCCGGCTAATTTTCCTTACTTTTGGTAGAGAAGGTGTCTCACTATGTTGCCCAGGCTGGTCTGGAACTCCTGGTCTTGAGTGATCCTCCCACTTCAGCCTTCCAAAGTGCTGGGATTACATGTGTGAGCGCCCCTGGCCCACAGATGCTTTTTAAGTGAAGTTTTTATCCTGGGAAAATGATACCCCTAACATTAAGATGAAGTACTATGTATCTTTAGTCTAAACTGTTTTTTGTTAGAATGATTTTTTTCCTTTGTTGTATACAAAGTCTGTTAACCAGCTGCCCTTTGTGAGTTATTAACATCTCAAAAGGGTGTTTAAAAAACATAAACCCCAGTTGCTCCCAATAGTTAACCTCAGAAACAAAAGTAAATGGGAATGCTTCTTAAGTACCTTTCCAAGCCATCAGTGAAGCTGGCAGCCATCAGTTAAATAAACCATTAGGTTTATTAGTTTGAGAACAGAAGCATCAACAACTTGGACAGCTTTCTAATTTGCTCCTCATTTGCCCAACAATCATTTATTCAAAGGCTACTCTGTGCAGTGGACATTAGATAACTCTACAAATAGAAGCCAGAGACTGATGAGTAGCAAGAACTCTATGGGGATCATCTGAATGGAAAAAAAATGAAGAAAACACAATTTAATAAACTTGAAATCTTAGTAGCACATTTAAAAACAAAAGTGGATTCCTTTAAACAATAGCTTTGCTCTCTTTCTGTAGTCTATTTTAAGTGGGCCCTGTGGCCCAGAATTATCAGCCTTGGATTAGGAGCTTTGAGGAAATGGTGGTTTGGTGGTTGTTTTTTAAAGCATTTTTTAAGAGACGTAGTTACTAAGCAACTGCCATGACCTGCTGCTAAGTTGGAGTTCAGTGGGCAAGTCAATTCCAAAGAAGGGAATACATAAACAAGTTTTGAGAGGAGAAAAACGGCTTAAAGATAGATTGGGTATTTTTTTTTTTTTTGTTCTGGGTTCGATACATAGTTCTATCTTTTACTTATCTTCCCCAAGAAGGGACTGCCTGATCAAAAAATCTCTTTGTCTCACGTGGTTCTCTCCTTAGTTGGTGAGCTCAGAGGGCCAGAAAGGAACCAAGGAGAACCGATCCCCTCCCAGTGTAGAGGGCCGAGCCCTGGGGTGGGGCCAGTGTCCAAGCTGTCTCTAAAGGTCGATTGGCCTTCCTGCTGCTGTGCTCTCCAGCAGTCCAAGCTTCTATGACAAATTGGTCACCACCCTCTACCTTTAGATTGGGGTACCTCATTGATATTGATGTGTTGCTGTGTAACCCTAAAAACAGGGACGTTGTCCACCTGTTGTCTCTTTTTTGCCCCCAACATTTAATGAATGAGTCAGTGACTTAACTGCTTCCTCCAGGATTTCAGGGATGAGAGTAGGTAATGAGGACAAAGCACCATAACACCAGTGCGTGATGAATGAAAGAGCAAATGAATTTAACCAGTTGGCTTCATTGATATCTCAGTGAACAAAAAGAAACTCTGTTGAGAAGAGGCTATTTGCGTGACTTAGAATGCCATTCCCTCCTCTTTAGGCTTTTCAGCATTTCCCTTTATACTCAGCTGAAGGTCAGGTTGCTTTGCTGCGGGAAGGGGGTGTCAGGTGTTGGAACAGGTGTTTTGTTTTTTCCCATGGAGTCATACCGACTAGGTGGGGATGCTTCTTGCCAGCCGTCTATGGTGCATGAAAACGCTTTTGTGGAATTTTTTTCTCCTGGAAATGTGTTTGGTTTTTAAAGCAGTTCCCCAACATTCAACCCCTAGTATAAATTTTGACTTCCTTTAAAGTCAGCTTGTCACAGTGAAGTATGCCTGTTTTCTACCATTTCCATAGCCTGTGCCTTAGATATACCCCATTTTTGCAGCAATTATAGACCTGGAACATGTGTAATTGTGTGTGTGTGGTAAGTGTGAATATCGTATTTTAAATGTACTAGGAGAACGTCACAGCAAAGCAGCCCTATAAAAAGCCTTTTATAATAATTGCATGGCTAGAGTTAATTTTCCTATCTCAGGCTTTCTTACTGGGCATAAACCTGTAGTTACCTTTCTAGGGTGATGGGGCTATTTGAGGCTGTTGCGATGTTTCTCAGTGGGCTACAAGGCTGGGCATGAACTTATGACCTCACTGACTAGATGATTTTGGAGGTGAGAGGTGTCAGCAGACTTCTAGGTTTGGGAGAATTTATGTTTTAGTGTTCGATTGTTACTGAAGCCAAAGAGGCTGTCTGTTGAAAGGGAAATAACTCAGAAGAGCTTGAATTCTCCTCATATGGTTGTGAGGTTTGTTTTTACCTCTGTATTGGGTTCCAACATCTCCATCCCCGCCCCAAATTGTCTTCCTTGCTTAACAATGATATAGCGGCCTCAGGTCCTTTCCAGCCCCTCCAGGCTGAGTCTCAGGGCCATCTGTTCTATCTGTAATACGCTTTTTGGGAAAGTCTCCTTTCCCATCTGCTCTCCTTGGGTGGCGTTAGTGTCGGCTCTTAAAGATTTCTAAAGGTTGCACTGGAATCTCTTTCCAGTTGTTATTTTTTCAAGGATCAGTGAGATTTTGAGGCAGATAAGAGCTGTTTTCATTTCACATGCCCAAATGCTATTCCCTTTTCAGGTGCATTCTTTCCTTCTATTAGTCTGGGAGTGGAGGGAAGTCTGTCTTTCTGTGCTTGGAGGAGGGACTTTGCTTATCAAAGCAAAGACTGACCGGGCTGGCTCTGGCTGATTTGAAGCTAAGTGTCCTCATGGCTTTTTGGCCACTGGCATGCAGGGTCAGGGGAGCTCCTTGGGTTCATTCTTTTCTTGCCTTTTCCCTTGTCTCCCCAACAGAGTACAGTCGCTTTGAATCGAAGATACATGACTTACGAGAACAAATGATGAACAGCAGCATGAGCTCTGGGTCTGGGTCCCTCCGAACCAGTGAGAAGAGGTCCTTGTATGTCAGGTAAGTTGCCCTTCTGAGTACCAGGCCTTGTGCTGGAGGAGGGGAGCTCTGTGCCAACCCAACCCTTCTTGTTTAACTAGTGGGGTAGGGAGTGTGTACTCCCAGTACTAAAATAACACTTCTCACTGTATGCTCAGGTTGTGTACTTTATGGTCAGTATCTCCTCCCTTTTGTGAGCTGGCTTCTTCCTTTTCGCTCATGAATGACTCAGTATGGGTCAGTACGGGAAAATTTCAGTTTGCTCTAATTGTAAAAGACTGTCGGGTGATTGTTGCTAGTCAGCATTCAAATAGCAGTCAAATGTTCAAAGTACTTTGCTTGCAATCTGTACTTTGAGGGGAAAACTTGGCACCCCCTATCCCCTTGCACATATGCGTAATAGATATCAGGATTTGGATCTGAGCATATCAATTATCACAGTGTTCTGATACAGGGTCTCTTTGAAGAGACCAAAGAACTGACAGGTTGCTGCATTCTGGATGTTTTATTGTGTTTCCATCGCCCCCCGCACAACCCCCTGCTGCACTGGTCTGCTGTATCTATGAATCATGGGACGGGATGATGTATGTTCCCTAGGAAGAGGGAGTGGAAGGAACAGATATATAGCATTGATTGTATTGCTGCTAAAAGCTATTCTGAGATATTTCCAAGGTTGAGCTTCTGACCCTTGAGGCGTAGTATAATACTTTGTCAGGTCAAAGTACAAACCTCCTGAGGAGCTGGACTGCCAAATGAACACTATAGTTTCCTTCTTCCTGCCTTATTTCTTGGCAAAACTCCAACAATTTGGTGCAAGTACATTGTATCTCTTCAAGGTTAAAACCCTTAGAGAAAGGGGTGGTGGAATTACTCTCCTGGGCGGGAAGTAGCTATGGCATGTGTTTAATGCTTAGGTGTGGGGTTGTATCAACTTCTTGGGTTGAACTTGTTCTGGTGGCCTCTGGTACCTGTTAGGGGTGGGGAGGCTACATTTGCTAGTTGCTTGGCAATGTGACAATTGCTGTGTCCTTGGAGTGTGAGATGACAATAGCTAACCCTACTACAGGGAGGTAGGGAGTGGATCCCCGCCTCTGATACTGAAGCCCACTAGAACTCCACTCCTTTTGTGTTGAGAGCCTTTGCTGTGCTCACCTCCTGCTGTGACAGGAGGAGAATGGTAGGAAGGCTGGACTAGTCTCTGGCCATCTTCCTAGTCTCCCAGAAAAAAAAGTTCTGTTGTCTGTCACTAAAGACCTTGCTCCAAGCCGGCAGCCTAGACACTGGGGTGCTGATGAGGAGAATCAGAAATGTGCTGTCACCCCCTGAAAATGGGTTATGCTTATGTGACTTGGTCAGGATTGTTCCGTTCCTGTGTTTCCAGCCCCCGCAGATGTGGCACTCCAGTGTGCGTGGGAAGCTGCTCTTTAGGCAAGACAGTTTCTTCGGAGAGCTTTATTTTTAGATTTCCCCTCTCTGCCTATCCTGTGCTAGAGTTCTCCCTGCCTGGGCAGGGGGAGTAGGGCATTGGTTCCTGATCTGGAACACCCTTCTCTGGCCCAGGCAAGGGATATATTCATACTAACTCTGGGAAGTAGGGTAGAGACCATGACTCTGTTTCTAGCGAATCAGTTTATATAATCTGCCCTTAACCTTGTCTAGATAACATCTGTATCCTCCGAATACAGTAGATATGGTTTAGAAAATAGTAACCATTTGTGATCACTAGATTTAATCTGGGGAAATAGTGTCTTATGGCTGTAGCAGTGAGCTGAAGTCCTCTGCTAAGCTAACCCCTTTAATGGAACCTGGCTTGTTCTTTTTCGTTCCTGTTTTTGGCCTTTAACTCTGCACTTGGTTCCCTTTCTTCAGCATATAAACTTATTTAAGTTTCTTCCATTCTTAAAAAGAAAAAAATCCTCTTGATACAAATGGTCCCTTACACTATTGTCTGTCTTCTTTTGCTTACTGCATTTGCAAAATTATGTGCCAGGAAATGCTAGTTCCTCAACATGTTAATAAGTATTGTGTGGGCCCAGCATGGCAGCTCATGCCTGTAATTCCTGTAATTCTGGCATGATGGATGGAAGGCTGAGGTGGGAGGATCACTTGAGGACAGGTGTTTGAGAACAGCCTGGGCAACATAGCAAGACCCCATCTCTGCAAAATAAATACATAAATAAAAATTTTAAAAAGTATTGTGTGAAAAATCAGTGGTTCAGTAAGTTGGGCAAATGCAGGCTGAAACAGGAAAACAGGGTTCTTGTGATTATTCTCCAGGAGAGACTGTACTAGGCAGTGTTTCCTCAAAAGGTAAGAGCATGGGAGCATCATTTGGAGAAACCTGTCTTAACGGTTAGGAAATGTTAGAGTTGTCTGTATTTGCTGCTGCTACTTCATATCACCTCTCACTAGTCTGAAAGGAAGTGTGCATCTGCTTTTCAGTGTGGTGGTTCTGAGCAGCTCTGGGAAGCTCCAGAGGAGCAGAAGCTTGGCTCTATCGGGGATTAGCAGTGATCTCTTAGTTGTCAAATTTAACGACTGGTTCTCTGACATTGGACTCACCTCTTCACTACATTTGTTTCCACGAATTACCTACTTTCTTCTTTAAAGGCTCTCTTCTTACCTTGCTGACCATTCCTCAATACCTTTCATTAGCTCTGCCCCCTAAATGGCAATGTCATTTATTTTCACAGCTTCAAATCCTATTTTATAAATGACATCCTTGATCTCTTTACTGAACTCCAGACCTGCATATCAACTACTTGCCCACGTATGCATAAATAAAGCTGCCCTTTCAATGCCTCAGACAAGCGGCTTGTACTTTCCTTATCTAAGTTAATTGCCTCACCCTATCATGTGGAAAAGGGATTAGATTTGTTCTGTCACCCAAGGCAGATCTGTTCAACATAAGGAAGGAAGAGCTAATGATTAAAACTGTCAGAAAATGGAATGGACTGCTTCCGGATGTAGTAAATTTGATCTTTTGCCACTCAAGGTGTTACAGAAGAGGCTGGGCAACCATTTGCCTGAGTGTTGCAGAGGGGGTTGAAGCTAAAGCAATAATCTGTACATGATCTGCTCAGAAGCTTTCACTAGTTCCCCAGTGTCTTCAGGATAAAGGGGAACAAACATTTAGGGAACACCTACTGTATGTCAGGACCTTTGTTATTCTCTTTAAATGGCTTTTAAAATCCTTTTAACAATTCTACAAAGTAGACGTATGATTCCCATTTTGCAGACAAGAAAACTGAGGCTCCAGTTAGATAGCTAAGAAATTTGAACCTGGTTGCTCTGACTATAAATTGTGGTTCCTTCAGCATTTCCCCAACTTACTAATAGGGATCAACTGAAATGTTAGTAAAAAATACAGATTCCCTGGCTCCTCTTCTAGCGAGTTGGATTCACCAGGTTTGGGAAAATGGATGTTTTTAACAATTAGTTAGAACACTCAAGAATGACTGCTTGCATGTCACAGTAGACATTTATTTCTGTATCACTGAAATGACTAAACCTTACACTTTGTTTCGCTCCTACTATATGGAAAGCAGTAAAGCATAGGTGTGATTTCTGCCCTCTGGCAGCTTGCCATCTACCCAGAACGGATTGAGCAGCAAGTCTGTTAAAGTGAAGGAACCTTTTTCTGTTTGGGTTTCACCTCTAATTCTTTTTGCTATTGTTTGCCCTTCTGACATGTTTCTCCTCCCTTCCCTTCCCCTGTATATCTATCCCTCTCTGGTATACATGGGTTTGCAAAACTATTTTGAAGAAAATAACACCCTCTTAGAGCTGCACTGAGGCTATAGCAGGTGAAACTCAAGGGAGCTGCAGCTGTGCTAACCATAGGGGAGATGGGATTTGTGGACCAGGGAGCAGGAGCAAGAAAGAAAGATAACAGTATTTGGAAAATGAAACTTGGTTTAAAAGTCACCAGTGACTTAATGGGACAGGCCTTCCCCACCCTTCACTATAGTAGAATCATCTCTTAAATGGATGAGCAGGTTGAGCAGAGCCCCTTGGTCTGCCCAGCCTAGATCTTTTGCTCTGCTGGTGAATTTGCCTTGCCTGCTGGAAAAGTCCACAGAAATATACCTCTCTTGAACCTCATATTCAGGGTTGGGGAGGCTAGGTGTTTAACTCAGGCAATTCTGATATGAAGGCAGTACAAAGACACGGGGTAGGTTAGGGTTCCAGGGATGATCTCGTTCTGTACTTGTATTTTATTTTTATTTATCTATTTATTGAATGAAGAAAGGAAAGACCTTGTCCTCCAAAGATTGCCGAAAGGATCAACAGTACACTTGTAGAAATAGCTTTTGAAAGTCTGTTCAGGCTAGCCTGGCTGCATTCTTTGCAGCCACAGGACGGCATTCAGGCAGTTGGGAGCCCTGGATTCCTGACTGGCCATCTGCCATCCCAGTGTTCTTCCCAATCTAGGAAGGAAATAATGTTGGGGTATCTATAGTCTTGACTCAAGAAACAATGTCAGAAATATTGGCTTGGTCATCAAAGAAGGTTGGAGAATGCTCCTTCCTGTCAATAAGCAGATATTAATTGTGCAACTACTCTTCGCTTTGCCCAGGGTGGTGGTGCTTGGCAGAGCCTAACTGGTCTTGTTCATTAAAGTTCAATAGTGGATTAAGATGCCAACAAGATAATATTGGCAGGCTTCACTATCTGACAGAATTTGGGAGTGGTGATAATATGTATTTTAAAAAGCAATGACAATGTATATAAGTGTTCAGTGCTACCACAGTGTGAGGCAGAGTTTCCTGCATCAGTGACTTCTGGAACTGCCTGTTCCCAAACACTACTGGGCCTGTACTTGTAATCCCTCAGCTCATCTTGTCATCTGCAGGTGCTGTGAGCCCTGAACAGTCACTCATTGTGGGTTGATTGGTCCTTGAATGCCTCTCTAACTTCATAATTGCCCTCTAAGGCCTGAAACTTTGAGATAGACTAAGGGGAAAAGTGCCCTTACCTACTCTCCACGCACCCTTCTTCAAGGGGAGCCGGGGGGCTGA